GGATTGTACATAGAACAATATCAGACCTCTGAAAAGTATAAGCATGCATATGTACTCAGTACTTGGTTTGGGCCCCTTGGTTTGCAGCAATTACTGCCTCAATGCGGCGTGACATAGAAGCTATCAGCCTGTGGCATTGCTGAGGGGTTATGGAAGACCAGGATGCTTCAATAGCGGTCTTCTGCATTGTTCGGTCTCATGTCTCTCATCTTTCTCTTGGCAATGCCCCATAGATTCTCTATGGGGTTCAGGTCAGATGAGTTTGCTGGCCAATCAAGCACAGTAATCCCACAGTCATTGAACCAGGTTTTGGTGCTTTTGCACAATATTCTAATTTTTCGAGTTTCACCTGTATATAAACTAGATTTCAAATATAGATGGTACAACTCAAAAACTGAATGTAGCTTTCCAAGCCATCGCCCCATCCCAAGGAGCAGAGTCACATCTGCGGGATGGGGAAGTGAATTGAGGAACCTCTCTGTTAGCCTTTAAAGGCAAACAAGGTCAAGAAAAAGAGAATTTTGAAAGTCTGTCAAAACCCACCATTTTAACATATACTTAATCCAATCAAGGCAGAATAGTTCTGATGCTGGAACTCAGATTCATTTATTTGTTATTTATTTATTTATTGCTCACCTATGTTATTTCAAGGTAACTCTGGGCATTTTTTCTAACAGTTGCACATTCTCCTGAATTTTATCAGACATACAGATAATCACATCAAATAAAAAAATACAAACAGGAAATGTTGCAGGCCACCCTAGTCAATTTTGGCTAATGTCCTAAATGTCAAACATGCTGATGATTTTTAAGATACTGCCTGCCCATTCTAATTTATGGTTATACTAGAAGATCCCATATGTAGGATTACAGTTAGCAAAAAATGAAATGTACCTCATAAACTGATTTCCTTGCAGTCTTGAGCCTAGTTATAAAAAAATCACTGTCTTCTATCATCCGTGACATTCTATTCTTATGCTCAAGAGCCTTTTCACGTTCCTGTTGCATGGTGGTGATCTGCAACACAAAGTCAAATCAAAGCAAATCAAACGGTTGTACATAATGTTCAGGTTCCAATGCCTAAAATTTAGCAGACTAAGTTTCACACTGAAAAAAACATTGAGGGGCCTGTTACATGTAGTCCTTGATGTATGACTATTTCTTTAACAATCATTCAAAGTTATGATGGCACTGAAAAAAAAGTGATTTACAACCAGTCCACTTTATGACCATTGCAGTCACTCCAGGATCACATGATCAAACTACAGGCATTTAACAATCAACGTGTATTTACAACGTTTGCAGAATCCTGGGTCCCATGATTGCAATTTGTGACTTCCCCAGGGGGCTTCTAAACAAACGAAGTCAAGGGGATGGGAAACTAGATTTGCTTAATGAATGCAGTAAAAAGGTCATGAAATCCACACACTTAACTACATCACTTAGTGACAGACGTTCCAGTCCCAATGTGATCCTAAGTCAAGGACTACCTGTATATGTACTTGTGGTTTTGCATTAAGTATATAATTTTAGCCATTATATAATTGGAGAAACTTTACAGCAATTAAGTAAATGTACTTATAGCTTGCATAATTTACTCTCTGGAAGACATGCATTCTGTGGTGACAAAATTCAAAGGAGACTGGAATTTTCCAATACTTAACAGTAATGATATTGTCCAGGAAATGTTGCTAGTTGGCAATCAAATTAACTTGAATTGAAAGTTTACTAGAAAAATAATGTTACTACCAAGAATTGCTTCTCAAATAAGCAAGCTCTCAAAAATCTTACCCTTTCTTCTTCTTGCTGTTCCCAAAGATCCATATCTCTGACTCTTTGTTCTTCATAGGCAGTCTTAATCAGTGGAATTTCTTCTAAACGTTTTGCTCTTTCAAAATGGTCAATCTAGATTTTTTAAAAAAGGTTGGTTTATTCTCTTAAAAGTTGAGAAAACAAAAACGTTTTCAGTTCAGTTGTAAATGCTATTGTTTTCTGCCTACATTCACATTGCCTTTTCTTTTACCTTTTTCTCCTGATTCTTCAGTCGCTCTTGCAATTCCTTCTTTTCTTTTTCAAGCTGTTCAACCTGTTTTGCCATAATGAAGTCTGGATCCAATTCTTCAAGATCCTACAAATAACAAAAATTAAAATATAAAAGATTTCTAAAGGGTATGAAAACATTTCTGCAGTTTAAATACGCTGTATTTCCCATAATACATTTACTCTGTTTTTCCTTAGACATTCAGTATACTTATCAATTATTTCAATATCACAGAATGTACTACTTTAAGTCAAATTGGGGAAAACACATTAAAATTAGGAAACCTAATCCAGACAAGAGGTTTAGCTAGGAAGAATCAGGAATAAATGCTGGAATAGCACATCTGAAATCCCAAACTCTGAAGTCGCTAAATCATCTTCTTCATTTTAATATAGTGGGAACATAAAACTTGCTTTGAGTTACAATCTTTTTATTCCTAACTGAAAAGATTTTAGGCAGCATGGCATAGACCAGCGATGGCGAATCTTTTTTGGCTCGCATGCCATAAGGGGGGGAGCGCAGGGGGGGTCGTGCGTGGGTGTGCCACACCCATAATGCAACGCAACACACACCCCAGTGCACATGCGCGCATGAGACGCTCCCCCCCATTTTTGCATGCTTTTTTCGCCCTCCCCAGGCTCCAGAGGCTTTATAGGAGCCGGGGGAGGGGGGAACAGCCTCCCCTGCCCCCTGGAGATCCCCTGGAGGCTTCAGGGACCTTCAGGAGGCTTCCCTGAAGCCTCTGAAGGGCTTAAACCAACCCTAAGAGCAAACCGGAAGTCCGTTCCCAAACTTCCGGTTTGCCCATAGGGCTGGGGTTCTTGCGCTCCGGAGGCTTCAGGGAAGCTCCTGAAGCCTCCGGAGGACCTCCGGGGGCGGCTCTTTTCGCCCTCCCCAGGCTCTTATAAAGCCTCTGGAGTCTGGGGAGGGCGAAAAATGGCTTTAAAAAGGCTGAACTCAGCTGGCCAGCGCATGCATGTGTGCTGGCCAGCTGACAGGGCAACGCTTTGCGTGCCCAAACAAATGGCTCCGTGTGCCACCTATGGCACGTGTGCCATAGATTCGCCATCCTAGGCATAGACAGTGCATTGTTCCGAAAAAGTGCCTTTAACAGGAGGCCAGACCATAAATTAAAAATTAACACCACCACACAGAAATAACCCTCCTTACCTCAATATCAATATCTTTGAAGGCCTTCGCTCCCAGCTCTGTCTTCTTAATCTGCTCCAAACGTTCACGAACAGTTTTCTTTTTAATTTGCTCATGTTCCTGCAGAATACGCTCTTTTTCACGCTCTTTTGCCTCCTGGCGCAGTCTCTCTTCTTCAGCTTTACGCACTTTTTGGAGTTCAGCTTCACGCTGCTCCAGCTCTTCTTTTTCACGCTGAATGTTCAAACTCTCAAGACGTTCCTTTCTTTCTTCAATAGTTTGCCTGCGGGCAAGGATACGCTGATGTTCTTTCTTTGAATTTTTTAAGTAAGCTGTAACTGCCAGTTGATGTTGTTCTTCCTTTTCTAGCTGAATAAAGGTTAACAACATAACAAGATTATTTTCTGAGATTCAAATGCAACAAGAGACAATATACATTACCAAAATTCAGAACAATACAATTTGTTTAGAGCAGCAGAAAAGGTGATTTTGAAGATTTTGTTGTTATAATCTGAGCTTTCTAACCTATGGGAAAAAGATTGTTTCCTATGTTGCTGCTAAGCTATGGAATGCTCTATCTAGGAAAGTATATGTAGCTCCCAGATTTAGAAAAATTGCAAAAATGCATCACTTTTACACAATGTTAGCTATTCACTGATTTTAATTGGATTAATTTAAAAATCGTGTTTTATATTTTTCCTTTCATTATTATAAGTCATGGCTTTTGTAAGTAAAAAGGCAGAGGTATAATAAATAAATAAAAATCACTAATGCTATCTCCATGCTGTCTTTACAGCTGCTGATTAATTTAATGTAGAGCAATTTATCATTCAAGGATCTGATTTCCAATAAATAACTGAAATTACAATAAATTGTCAATCATTTGGAAATGGAAAAACCATAATATAGCCATATCATGTTATAAAACATATTTTTAAAATCACTTTCTCTAATAAAACCTTGCTGCTTACTTAGAAATTTCAATTAAGAATGCCATCTCCCATATTTTCTGCAATAAGCTAATATTCAGATGCTTTAGTCATAGGAAAAAGCTTTGTTTGGAAGTCTGCCCAACTGTTAGAAAAACAATAAAGTTAAGCAGGAGTGGTGAAGAATATTCTGCAGAAAGAGGATGGATGATAGAATTCTAGTAAAATACAACTAAAATGTAAAATGGCCAATCATTGCAACCATTTGCAAAAGTCCTGAGAAAATTTCTCACAATTCCAAGTACACCCATCAAAGCAAATTCCTGGAACTTTTAGGAAAGTCATTAAAATATGCAAATAAATATTAAGTCATTCATGATATGTATTTACTGTACACATTGATTAGTGTACCAAAAAAAAAATTAACTCTTCTCTACTGTGTATTTTTTTATTCTTTTAGACTTAAGTCAACCAATTACATTTTGAAGAACCGTGCATATTGCATTGTAAGTTTGAAAAATAGTTATGTCACTTTTTCAGTGCTGTGGTAACTTTGAACGGTCACTAAACAAATGGTTGCAAGCCAAGGACTACCTGTAGTTGCTCTAGATCAGTGTTTCTCAACCTTGGGAACTTGAAGACGTCCGGACTTCAACTCCCAGAATTCCCCAGCCAGCGAATGCTGGCTGGGGAATTCTGGGAGTTGAAGTCCGGACATCTTCAAGTTGCCAAGGTTGAGAAACACTGATCTAGATCATTACTGTTCTAGATTCTTCCCTCCTCCTCCCGCCATTCAAGAAGGCCCCAAATATTTAGCAAATAGAATAGCTTCCCTGAATTATACCTAAGAGAGTAGCTTCACTCTTTAAGCCTTTTTATCACTGATAATTCAGTTTCCCCACATACATTTTGGGATTACAATGGCAACAAAGTCTGCCGGGGAGTGCTGTTGCTACACAATGTAGTCACATGACATCACACTTTATAACTGCATTGCTTAGCAATAGCAATTCGGGTCCCTACCCAAAGACTTCCTGTGCAAGAATGAGAACTTTCACTGACCCTTTGATCTTTATGTTGGCCTATTATGAGTCTTAAATTCTGAAAATACAATGAAATCTGTCCTCAGGTTCACTAACGCAGCCACCACCTTCTACTGAAATCTAACTTGTATTGACTCAATTGGCAGTTTTATTGACCAAAAGATTATTGGCAGTGCACTCCCTTCCATCCAGGGCATAGCATATAAGCGCTGCTTGATCAGGGTCCATAGGATTGTCTGGCATGCTACACATCCTCTCCATGGCCTGTTTTCCTTGTTAGCTTCTGGGAAGAGGCTTTGTGGTATCCAAAGCAGAACATCTAGATTCAGTCAGTTTTGTTCAATATAGTATCAACCTTGTGAGTTTCCTCTTTCCACTATGTGTTCAAAATAGAGTAATTAATATGTATATACAGTATATGTGCGTGGGTGTATATCTCGGTGTGTATACACACAAAGATATTTTTTGAGAGCGGGCAACAGAATTTTATTTTTAATGTGTGCCAGTGTGCTCACATTAAAAACAACAATAAACGTTATCTTATTATAATTAAACTTGAGATTAGCATCTAAAAATCGTAAATCCATTTCATCGGCTTTTTATTTCCATGTGTGAGTTTTATCCATTAGGACTAGAATCATGGGAAGGACCCCAATTTACTAGAGAAACAAGAAATGTGGATTAGAAGGAAAAGAAGAAGCACTCTGATCATAACTGAGCACACTAAAGCTGCCCCAAGGTACACAAATATTTAAGAAGAAGACCAAAAGCTATGATTTACCAATAGATGAGGTGGCTTAATAAATTCTAGAGCCTTTGCAAGTGCAGATGACATGGCCGTCAGCTGGTTCCTAATCTGCTCAGAAGGCATGCTCTGCAGCTGAGGTCCAAGAGGAGCATCTTCTCGGGTGCAATAGTTTAAATCGGACCCAAAACTTAATGTTCGGGTGGTATGATCAATGCGAACCTTTAAAAAGTAAAGTCAGTAAAAATCAGTAAGTCAAAAACTGTAAATTGCTTAGAGAGGGCTGTAAAAACATCGTGAAGCTGTATATATATATATGCACGGTTTCTCTGAAAATAAGACCTCCCCGGATAATAAGCCCAACCAGGCTTTTGAGCACATGCGCTAAAATAAGCCCTCCCCAAAAGTATTGCAACATAGCATGAGCCATGAGGTGACCACGCTCGCAGCCTCCTGCACTTCAAAAATAATAAGACATCTCCAAAAATAAGGCCACATGCTTATTTCCGGAGTCAAAAAAAATAAGACCCAGTCTTATTTTCAGGGAAACACGGTAAGTCTGCTATTTTAATTGCTATATTACTACTCTTAAAACACTTAGTCTGGTTTACTTGGGAGGGCTGACAGTAAGATGTAATACCTGATACTTTATGTTTTTAAAAAAGAAAAATTCAGATTTAAAGAAAAACAATTATGCACAAATATCCTACTCTTATCCATATCACTCACTTGTAAATCACAGTGTCTGGCTGCATCAACAATGGCGCGCTCTAGTTGGAAAGCATCCACGAAAGGAACCAAAGTAGTTAAGCGAGAAAATTCAATGCTTTGATAAATTTGAGCCACCTGCAAAAATACAGAAATATTCATCTCTTTTTAATAAATCACATCAGGTTCCTAACACTCAATATTTTTAAAGAACTCAATGAACTTCAATAACTTCAAGATCAACAATAACTATTCAAATATAAATAATACTTGATATTAGCAATTGCCATTTATTTTTTTAAAATTCACTATTTTGAGCAGCAACCATGTATGAAGGAGACTGGCAGCAATTCTAAATGAAGCAAAGCTGCTAATTAGCCTTCACAATCTCCCTTTAGCACACCAGAAATAACACTGCTTACCAGTGCAAAGGAAGCAGGTCAATGATATGTGCTTTAGGATCGAAAGACTTTTAATGCATTCAGATACATAAATTAATATGGTTATATTAAAGATGCATAGTGAAAAACATTTACAATTACAATTCAATATTTTAAAAGTATTGTTTTACAACCATACCTGCTGAAGTAATCTAAGGATGGTGTTGTTTTGCAGATGAGGAATATATAATTGCAATTCTGGCTCTTTCTCAGATTGATCTCTTACCCAGTTTAAAACCTGCATAGAACCAGTGAATTAGCAAATGGTAGTAGGGTTGATTTAGACAGTTATGTTTTTCTCACTAGATTGCTCAAACTATTTCTTTCCAATAATGCACACATATTACAATAAAAGTGAAAAATCTGTAAATCTTGGCCAGATTATCGTTTGTGCAAATATATGTATCATTCTTGCTCTTTCTCTTACACACACACAGAGGGAGAGGGGGGGGGGAGAGGGAGAGCAAATGATACACATATGATGCTCTTGCTTCTCATTTGATGTGCTACAACTGCTCTCTCAGTAATATACAGGAACATGCCTAGAAATGAAAATTAATGCAAACTGAGACAATCACTGAAAAATATGCATAACATGTTAAGAAAAAAAGCACTTATAAAGTCACAAATATTAATTAGTTCAGTGCTATATATATATATATATATATATATATATATATACACACACACACACATACATACACACACACACACTCACACGATACACTAATTATCATAATCTATTATTTAATAAATCTAAAGAAAAAAAGAAATATACTGTATTCTGCAATTGTGAAGGACTTCTAGATGTCAGAAGTGTACTGCTGAACAAAAGATAACTGCTATTTCCATGAATAGTAATAAAACATAAAATCTTCCAATAGTTTAACCTCTATCAATAATGAAGAATTAAAGGCTTGCTGTTTGATTCAGTACCAACTGTGTAAATTCAAATTCATCTAACATTTCATTAATTAATAAATACTTATAAATGGTATGCATATTTTTTAAAGGTACTTTTAGAGAATGAAAACATATTGAAGAATTGGCAACAATAAAGACTGTTTCATTTACAGGCCTTTAAAAAAAATCTATCAAGCAATATATAGGATCAATATGAAACTTAGCCCAGGTTCACTGTTGTGAGATGGGAAGCTGTATAAGTTAAACAATGTAGGGGGGGAATCATATAATAAGATAACACCTTTTTTTTTACACAGTTCAACTTAATTTAAATTTTTTTTTTACTATAAACCATAATTTGCATTGGCATGTCTCAAAATCTTACCTTGCATACGCGGCCACATAACTTTAGTGGATGAAAATCTACCTCAAGCCAGTTATAAAGCTCTTTTACCTCTGGGACAACATGCTGAACTACATTAAATCTCACCTATGAAACATGAATTAAAAACAATTGTTAACACTTTTCTCAGACAGGGTTTCATACACATGCAGGCACATTTGAATACTTAAGATTACAATACATTGGTATCGATATCAAGCATATTCTAATTTATAAGTAATTCAACATCTCTATGCTGGAAGGGCTAAAATGTCACTTACTGCATAGCATAAACTAGCAACATAAACATGTTTATGGAACATACTTACCATATCATTAATAAGAGAAATTCGATTAGGTGGAGACTGAAGTCCTAACAATGTTGCCAATCGGCGTTGCTTTTCAACAATTATGCCATCCATGTCCAAAAGCCGAGCAATGTCAGTTTGTTCAGGAGTTATTGGAATTGAGAGAGTAGCCAAAAGCACTCTTGTTGACATCCTACAGACAAAAAGGAAGAATAAGATAATTTGGGATAGGATAACTATTGTTTACATTTAAACCGTTAAAAAAGCATCTTCCACTCTCCCACCTCTATATTTCTTTAGCTAAAACAGTGTACTCATTATGCCAACAATCTATTTATTTCTCTCCCCCAGCCATACACCCTTTTATCTTTTCGGACCTTCCTGAACAACATTACGCATATGCAAGGAACAGAGCAGGAAAAATTCCATTGTTGCTTTATAAAGTCCACTGAAATAATATTGAATATAGCTAATTAAAAGTTCAAAATTGCTATTAATGATTCCCAAAACAAAATTGCTCCAAGCCATGGATTTTTCCCACCTCTGCATCTCCTCTTGTGTGAGATTTTTTCGCATTTCTCTTGAAAGATGATAAAGACGGTGAAGTGTAGATGCATGAAAAAGAGCATTTCCTGATTTCCAAAATACAGTAGAAACTTTGTGGTAATAATTTGCCATCAGCTGGGGCTTTGGTGGCTTTTTGGATAAGGAAAATAGCCCATGTATATCTTCCACAGCTTTAAAAGCTTCCTAAAAAAAAAAACTATGTCAAATTACCACAAGAAAATTTTTTAAGGAATATCACACACTGAAATATAATAGATCTATTTAATATACATGTGTTTATTATTACTACTTGAATCTAAGCACATTTATTTGGGAAACCTCCATTATAAATACATTGTACATCCATTTATTTTTAGCACTCAAATTTGCACATAATTCATCTCATCATTGCCTTAACCGTTGAATCATCAACCTCAAATTGAGAAATATATTGCTGTCTCTCTCACAGTATTCAACTGAATAGAGCCAATTTGGTCTAGTGGATAAGTACCAGGCTGAAAACAGGGAGACCTTGAGTTTTTGTCCCACCTCAGCCTCAAAAGTCAGTTGGCTGACCTTGTGCCAATCATTCTCCCTCAGCCCAATTCACCTCAGAGGGTAGAATAGGAGGAGGAAGATGTATTGGATGTCTGCCACTTTGAATTATTTGTAAAAATAACTTCAGGAACGCTTCAGTAACTTGGGAGCCTGCTTACTGTTTTTAGTATTTTAGTTCTGATCACTGTGATCAATTCCCCAGTCATCTTCTGAGTCCTTCTTCCCTTTTCTCTAAAATTTCTCCACTGTCCTTTCTCCTCCCATTCCTTCCACAGCCTTTTTTCCTTTGCCTTAGAAACCGTGTTTTCTTGATTTACATTTTGGGTAATCTAAACAGCTCTTGTATTGAAAATGGCTCAAATCCATTTCCAGGATCTACTTTTGAAAAAGGTGCACATACTAAGTCTGAATATATATCTTAGTCGGGCACCTGAATTTGTCTCAGATCAATTCTAATCATTAAGTAAAACAGGAATGGATAGTAAAGCGATTTCAATAGCTGATTAAAATGGCTGAAAGCATAAAATGGAATTTAAAATTAGATGAAGATAGAAAGTGAAGAAATATGATAATGCTTTGATATTGTATTAAATATGTACCTGCCACAACTCCATGCTGATAGCACTGTCCAATTGTACAAGCCTAGTTTCCAAATGCATTGATTGACTTTCTGGATTATTGAGGTTGATTGCTGTACTTTGATTGTGATGACGCTGAATTTGACCCAAATGCATTCTTAAGTTGTCACAGAGTTTACGAAATTCAGCCTTACGAGTATATTGCAAACAAAACTTGAAAGCTGCAAGATTAAATTATTCAAAATTGATATTTTAGCACTTATGAACATGCTAAAAATATTACTGACATCAATCACCTGGAGAGTGTTATTTCTTCCACTTTATTCTCTTAATGAAAAGCTAGATTTTTCTCTTAAATTGCATTGTTAAAATATTTATCAGGAAAAGATTATAATTCATTGTTTAAAAGAAAAGGTAGTTCTATCAGACATTGACAAACTCTTGCATATTTATTACACAAAGATACTGAAAAGTTTAAATGTTACCTTGTTGGGCAATATCATGATAGAGTCTCTCCACTCTGGAATTGTTTCTGAGAAGATCCAAACACTGCCTGTATGATTCCCACAGAAACTTAACCCACGGAGTCAAAAGTAACCGATCAGTTCGATCTTGGGTATCTTCCCCACTTACAGCACTTAAGAGAACACTAAGAAACAAACAGTATTTTATATTGTATAATTAGATATTTGATCACATTATTCTTGCTTGTTACAACAAATTGAGTGGTAATCAAGAATGGTATAGTCAGATATACATCTATGAAGGACTTATAAAGCAAATTTTGGGAGGACAGATGAAAAATTGCCATGAGTCCAAACTAAAATGTTAAAATACAATCTGACACACAGAGCAATCCAGAAAAAGATTCAGTTTGGTAAAGGCTTTCATGAGGGGAACCAGATCAAAAATAAATAGGATTATTTAAAAATAAATATGGTAGTGGGCCTGGGTACTTGAGAGACCGCCTACTGCCAATTACCTCCACCAGACCGATTCGATCGCATCGATTAGTCCTCCTCCGAATCCCATCTTCTAGCCAGTGCAAACTGGCAACTACCCGGAGGAGGGCCTTCTCGGTGGCTGCTCCGTCCCTTTGGAACGAACTCCCCGTGGAGATTCGGACCCTCACCACCCTCCAATCCTTCCACGCTGCTGTAAAGATCTGGCTGTCCCGGCTGGCCTGGGGCTAAGATTATAGCCCCACTTGAATTGTGTGATTGTTGCATTTTTCTCTTTTAATATGCTGTATTGTTTATTGTTTGTTGTTTCCCCCTCCCTTTTGAATTGTGAGCCGCCCTGAGTCCCCTTAGGGAAAAGGGCGGCATACAAATAAAGGCAAAAGTAAAGTAAAAAGTAAAATATATTTAACATGAACCATTAATGTAATCAAAAGTATCACTTTTACCTTTCTGGAGTCTGGATATTATCAAGATCTTCTATGTCTAGGACCATCTGTTGAGATTCTTCTTTAGCAGCTTCAGTTTTTTCTTCTGCTAGTTTTAAATAAGCTCGTACTACATCCTCCAAGGACTTAATATTCACCTGTATCAAAATCAGAAGAGCTAAAGTAGCTTTTCTTAATCAGGGACAAAATCTATGTAGGAAATTCAAATTTGAATAAAATGTGTTAACTTCATATAGTAATAAATAAGACAATGAAAGCCTTGTTCTATTGTTCAGGTTCCAAAGAAGCCTATTAATAACAGAAACCAATTATAATATGAAGTATATCTACCTAGATGAGTCCTAACAAGTTATTCTTCAAATGATCATATGATCATTACCAAAGATATATGTTTCAGAACCTCTACCTGTATTTGTTATTAAAATGCTGATATATACTTTCTAATTATTAGTATAATTAAAGTTTAGAAGTTTTACCTGCTGGCATATATTCTTGTATTGATATAATCCTTCCTTTGCCAGGTGGCTCTTCCGGAGGTCCACACACAATTCTAAGTATTTTAGCATAATTGGTTCGTGGATCTTTTGCCATGTTCGATGTTTTTTACTTTTCATAACATCATACAGAACATCAAGAGCAGGCTGTTTCTTCCCAACCTCAAGAAATTCTAAAAAAATAAACAATGGTTAATGCTCAGCTCGATTGAAGATTACTTATCTATTTTTTAAAAGTTAAGCTATAAAGGAATCAACTGCTATAAATGATTAAGACTTATAAACAGCACTAGGCTGTTTATAAAAAATAAGAATCAGTTGTAAGTAACTAGCATAATTACATAATTATCCTAATTATTTAAGATAATAAGTTTAAATATTGCTTTATTAATTGTATTAATTAAATATTGTTAATTTGTATATAATTTTAAAGGAAGGAAATAAGAAGAAAGGAAAGAAGACAGAATAAACTTTTAAAATTCAAGATATAAATTATCCTAACATTTTCAGAAAAATTTTGAAGCTGGATGTTCACGACTGGATAAACAAGTTGGAGAATAACTACAAATTCCAAGTTTCAAAGAGATTTCAATAAGCTGTTTCTGAGAATGCTTTGTTTAAATTAACCTTTAGTGCAGGTCCTATTTTGAAGGATAGAATCTGAGTGCAAGCAAGCTGAATCTCTGCTATACAATGACACCTGAATTTTCATTCTCATTATGATCAATTTTAAACAGCCCTTCTTTTTTGGTTTGAAAATCCATGTATATAATTTGACGAAGACACAAAAGAATATGTTGCTAAGCATTATTCCTTATTTCCTTTCATTTCTGTTACACAGTAATCCCTTCTAATCACTCTGGATGATTAATTTTGGAGATTAAGATAAGGTGAAATCTACCTCTATTAGAGATCTCAGTAATGTTTGTTACTAAAATTCAGCATTTCGTACACAAGGGGGTCCCCAAGACACTCTCAATAGTCTACAAAATCAGAATTATTTGCCAGATATTAAAGGCACTAATATTGTTTTACATAATTCAATAACTATGCTATGAATCTATCAATTTTAATTTTAATATGGTAAATATTGATAAATATAATACATACAAATAAAAGCACTTTGGGGTCCTCCATAAATTTTACAAGTGGCAGAAACCCTGACAGCAATATGTTTAAAGAACACTGCGATACGCCATTATATCCTTCTGATATGTTCTGCAAGGTTTATCCTGGGAAGCACATTATAGTACTTCCTTTTTTCCCTGACCAAATGAAAGAGTTGACATGCATGAGGAAGTGAGCCTCAGACTCTTCCAGTGTGTGTTATTCTTCATATATGCATGTTCCTTTAGCTTCCTCCGATTTTATAATTTTGGGTACTCTTTTTGGTTTTTGTACTTTGTTAATTAAAAGAAAAAGAAAAAATATCAGCTTAGCATTTTTGAATTTGAAACTGACTGTTGCTGGCAGACTACCAAATGTAGAAATAGATATTATGCTTATAAAGTGAAAAAAAAATAGTCAACTGTCAGAATATATACTTTTCTGTCATTATTATTGATATATTGTTTTAAAGTAGATAAAATTATATCTTATTTTTATGGGCTTCTATGGTTGAGGAAAATACACTTAAATTCTTTTATTTCATACAAGAATTTAAAATTAAAAATAAAAGTTACCCATTGACTTTTTTTTATAGATTGGATCAGTAGCAGTGTAGGCAAACATGTTTCCTATGTTTGCATAGATATAATGAAAAACTGGGAAGCAAAATTTGCTCTGAATTTTTATTTTCCTTAAGCAGAATACTTAGAACTTTCAATTAATATTGTTAAGTGTTGCATCAGAAATTGATTCATGTATAAAAATAATTTCCAATTCAGCTCCATTCAAATGTTTGCCATGTTGGCTAAAGATAATGGGACCTGCAGTTCAATACATTGTATTGATTGGGAAAACTAACAGATACATACACAGCAGTGGTGGGTTTCAAATTTTTTTATAACCTCTTCTTTAGGTGTGGTCTGCTTTGTGGGAGTGGCTTGCCAGCCATGTGACTGGGTGGGCGTGTCCAACTTGTAAAATGTGGTGAAACTCACTTAACAACGCTCTTGCTTAGCAACCAAAATGTTGGCTCAGAAACTCTGGCGTTTGAAGCACGCAAGTCTTAAAACTGTCAAGTTACAAGACCCTTGCACCCCTAACCCTTTAGGAGAAAAAACCCTAGGGGTGTTCAAACTTGACAGCTTTAAGACTTGTGGACTTCAACTCCCAGAATTCCTCCTCTCGCTCTTCATCTTGATGATGTGGGGACGGACGGGGGGGGGGAGAGCTGGAATCGGTTCTAAACAGCACTTAGACTTGTGGAACCTCTTCTATAGAAGAGATTAGAACTGGCAGGAACCCACCTCTGATACACAGGCAGTTTTTCTTCTTTTTTTAAATAAAATGTAACAGGAATAATGGAACAATCCTATAAAATAATCTTCAGAAAATAAAGATTATGTATAGGCTATATAGACTACTGTTATAGTTAAACTTAATGTTCAGGTATATTTCCTAGTCTTTATAATTCCAGTGCTGTCTAATTACATTAGTTAAGTACAAAGATTGTGTTACCCTTCTTCGTTTTTCTAAGATTTTATTATCTGCAATTCATAAGCCTGACATTTTGGTAAAGTTTTCATAGCATGCTAAATCATGTCTACTAAACCGTATTTTGATCAGACCACACTAAATTGGATAAATTCCACAGCATACTAAATATTAATCAATGGCTTACAAATAGAATGGCTGGATACAGATCATTCACAATGCCCAGTCCAAATCCTCCCTGTTTTTACATTCCTGTAATCCCTTAATTCAGAGTAGAATCCAAACAAATTGTTATAATTTAGAATGTTGTATTAATCAGGCTTCACCCTCTAGAATTGAATGTATGTGTAACCTGTGTAAAGTTGCAGTGTTATGTTCGGTAAGAACATGTCTAATGAATCAAGAATTGTAGAATTGGTTTACCCTTTTGCACTTGTACTATGAATTGGTTTACCCTTTTGCACTTGTAAATTATATTAAACAGGATGAATTTCCTTTTGAATAAGGCACACTGAATTCTTTATGAAAATGCCCTAAAGTAATATTTAAACAAATATTGTTCTATAACTCTCTTGTGCCAAATAGTGTAATTTACATGTTGTTAGACTGTTTATATGCTGTTATACCATAAGAATATTGATAGAGATGAACAATACATAGTTCAAATTTTCCAAGTCTATAAATTTCTAAACAGCTGTTCGGAAATGCCAGACTATGATTAAAAATTTGGCAAACATTGCTGTTCTAGTTAAGTTTCCATTTTATTTTTGTCACTCTCAGTCCAACTGACCTCACAGGATTGTTGTTGTGGAGAATATAGGAGGAAGGAGAATTAGACAAATATGCTGCCTTGAGTTATTGAGAAAAATAATGACAGAATAAAAATAAAAATAAGCTGCCCTTGATTTAGATTCAAATGCCAAAGTTTATCCATATCTATACCCTGTATGCATATATGTGTAAAATCTTTTTCACCATTTTTCAACTATGTCTTGTCATCAACATATTTCACATTGTGTGGTACGATATGTTGAAGATAAACAGGAAATATGGAAGTCAAGAACTTTTTAATATTAAACTGCTGCAATATGTTATATCTAAATGATGTATCTTTAACAAATGTATAAAATGAAAAATGTAGGTAAAAGGACTGAGTAATACGGAATAGAACCATACAAACGTATTTATGGCATTATGTTTCATCAACTCTTTCAAATGAAATTCAAAATCTAACTGAATTTTGTTTTGTAACAGATGTACAATAAATTTTGGCAAGTAACTATAATTCCATCAAATTACAATGGATACTTATTTTGATAGACAATTTTTACAAGTTCTTTAATTTGTAAAAGTGCTTATATCCCAATTAAAAATATGCATTAAAAGGAGTGTTTATATCCCTATATATTAACACCATGTGGTTTTACCGAAATTTTCAGGTTGCCATATAAAACACTCACAAGAGGGTTGGGGAAATATGATGGACATGAATTCTATTTTAAAGACAGTTAAATATTTAAACATTTTGCAACAGTGCAATAAATAAATATGAATACACTGAATAATTGTCCCTTTGAACTAATTATCCCTTTGAACTAGTCTTCAGATTTCCAGATGGTTATTCTACTGGCTTTTCTACTGGAAATCCAAGAGTTGTTCTTTAAGTCTCAATGTGTCAGCACTTCTTTAGAGCAACTCTAACGAGTTTTATTTTAATTACATATATTAAGCAGTTATTACTTTTTGGACTTGAAATGTGAGAGATAAGGAAAAGACAAGAAGACTTGCACTTTCTGTATTTATAACTTTTTACCTTTAATCAGGCAAAGACTAAACCTGGAAAAATGTGCTGAATATGTTTTCTGATATAAATCAGTTTCTAGAAAATAGGAACAAGTTTTAGGGGCTACCAGAAACATGAATTGTGAATATATCCGGGGGGGAAGCATATTTTAATGGGTCGTCCGTTGAAACTTGCACTCCATAACGAAGAGGTGTGGAGAGGATCGACCTGAGTAAAGTGTGACCAGCACAACGCGGCGGTCCTGAGAGAGACAGCCGTAGTTCATGCTTGGCTTTTATTGCGACTTATGTAGAAGAAAAATGTTCTCTTGTCCTCGTGGCCACGCTCCCAATGCAAATTTTTGGGTAAAAGGGCAAGTGGCAGCGACGCCTGAAGGACAAAAAGGCTTAGTTTGTGTTAAAATGGTTCGTGGGATAGACGGCCTCGTTCGCTCCGACTGATAGCTGGCAGTTCGCGCTCTCCGAGCAAGGAAGCGGGGGAGTGGCCATGGGTCTAGTGGCAGCTTAGGCCTCAACCCCCGTCATTAAAAGCCGGCCGGAGGCGAGGCGAAGACGAAAAAAAACAAACGGAGGCCTCTGCCTTCCATAGAAGCGACCTTTCAGAGCTTCGCACTCACCGTTCGCCCGCTTCAGGGCGTTCTCGGGCCGCTGGAAGTAGACCGGCATGATGGCGACGGCTTCTCCTCACGCGGCAACGAGCCCTAAGGAGCGCCCAGTCAGACAAGCAAGCGAGGCCGGAAAGGGAAGGTGTCACGTGACGCTCAGGCAGGGAAGTGCCCGGAAGAGAACCGATTAGACCAGTGTTTCTCAACCTTGGCGACTTTAAGTCCTGTGGACTTCAACTCCCAGAATTCCCCAGCCAGCATTCGCTGGCTGGGGATTTCTGGGAGTTGAAGTCCACAGGACTTAAAGTCGCCAAGGTTGAGAAACACTGGATTAGACGGCCTCTCTGTGGAAACCCCCGCCTCCGGTTAAGTGTGCGCATGTGCGGGAAGTTCAGGTTGCCTCCCGGAGTGAGAAGGCTAACTCAAAAGGCGAAGAGAGGAATGGTGCAGCTCTGGATTTTATCTTCATTTTCAGAGGGCGTGTTTGCTTGTTACTTTTTATTTAGTGGGCTTGGACTGCCAGATTCCTGAATGGAAAATAACCCGACAACAACATAGCACGATTGACTCGTGGCAGGCGCTACGTGCAATAAGTTCACACGGTGCAATTGGACTGGGTGTTTATTAGTAGCATTCACTGGGCTAAGGATTTTTTTGCCTTTCGCTTTGAATTGTATTGTGTTTGTATTTGTATTTGTATTTG